ACCTTACTAATTGAGATTAGAGTAAATAATTCGTTAAGTTCTGAATATTAGTCCTAGAAAGGATGATTATAAGTAAAGATACTCTCTTAATCAGAATGATTATAAGTAAAGATATAATATCGAATATGATATATCAAAAGAGAGATGATGGTAAAATTTGTTTGAATACAAGTAAAATTAAATGTTTTTAACAGTTTTTTATAATAAAAAAATATTCTTTATTTTTAATAGAAAAATTTTCAAAAATATTTTTAACTTATTTTGTACACATGTTCATAATATTTTTGTTGTTTATAGTGTAGTTCACACCGCTAGAAAAATAACTATAAGAGAAAAAGAACGGTTTGATTGAGATGCATTCACCTCGATCCCTTCATATTGAATAAGCCTTATATTGGAAGATGGCAATGAACCCTATGGATAAACAAAAGATACATAAAAAGGAATGGTTGGTGGAGAGACAAGGATGTGAATTGGAGCTAAGAAGCAATATCAGGAAGCATGATAATTTTGATTTAACAATGTAGTGATGAAAAAAGGCTTATAAGAGTTATATTTTATAAAGCTTATTATATAGTTATAACATAGTTTATAAGGCTTTTCTATTTTATTGATTTGAGAAAAGGGTTTTCGTTATTTATTTGTAACTTGTAAGGTATATTAGCTATCATTGCATAATTTTTCTAAATTGAAGGCTCATGTTTTTTTTTTGCTGGCAATATCTAACTAAAAATTATTTTATGTGAGTCAATTATTGAAAACTTGCTACATATAATATATATACACTAGTACACAATACACATTTTACGTCGGTTATTTTAGGGGTTTTTATGTCAGAAAAACATCTGACGTAGAAGCGGGAGACATAAATTTACGTTGGGGCACGAAAACCGATGTAAATTTACGTCGGACATGCCAAGGTCCGACGTAAAAAGTCATAAAAAATAAAAAAAATAAAAAGAAAACAAGTGCAGCAGAACGACCGTTCTGCTTGGAGAACGACCCGTTTTCCAAGCAGAACGGCCCGTTCAACATGGAGTATGGGCCGTTCTGCAAGCAGAACGGGCCGTTCTGCAAGCAGAACGGGCCGTTCTGCTTGATAGACCCAGGAGCGCGTTCTACAAACCCAGACTTGGTCACTTCCTTCTCCTTCTCCAGCTTCAAAAACTCGAAACAAACAGAAGAAAAAAAACATCATTTACGTCATAGAACCTCATAAAAAAGTCTAGAAACAGAAAAACACAAACTTGATGGAAGATGCTACCTCATAGAACCTCCCAGAAAAGCCCATGGCCACGCGAAGAAGAAACAGAAGAAGATGCAGATGAACGCCATGAAGGAGGAGGCGCAGGAGAAGGAAGAAAAACAGAAGAAGGAGGAGAAGGCGCAGCAGAAGGAAAAACAGAAGAAGGAGGCGCGGGATGAAGGTCACATTTTGAAATTTAGCTAATGAAGATTTTGAAATTTACCTGGTGCGCGCTCACGTTTTAACAGGTTATTTACGTCGGCCCTAATTGGGTCCGACGTGAATTTTAACATCTACGTCGGACACAATGCTTAGCCGACGTAGATGTTAAAATTTACGTCAGACCCAATTAGGGCCGACGTAAATAATTCAACAAAATTACGTTACATGCCATCGCATTTTTATTACGTCAAGTATTTTTATATCCAACGTAAAATGAGTGACGTAGTATCCTAATTTTCCACTAGTGATATATCTATTCTAAAGTTACATTATAAAGTGCATTGTTTTGAGAATGTCAAAGATAGTGGTGAGAGTACTTATATATCTAAAGAAAGAAAAAATATAAACTAATTGTCTTTTTTTTTTATAAAGATTTTAGTTGAAAGAATTGAATTTATTTAGAAATTTTTTTATAATGTAAATTATTTTTTTTACATTATTATTGAATTTAGTATTTGTTTAATTTATACCAAAGAAGAATTGGATAAAACTAGTTTTTTTTATATAATATTTGAAAGAAAAATAAATGTATAGACAAATATATGTGAGGAAAAAATAAATATGTTGATCATATGTTTAAATTGGTGGTAGAAGGTGGAAGTGGAATGATAAGTTGATCCATATTATTTCCTATATCTACCCTAACATTACTAATATTTCAAATGTTTTTACCCTTAGTATAGTGGACAACTAAGGGTTTTGGGTAACCTAAAGTTGAATCAATAGCTAATGCATGGCTTCCAAAATAGCCAATTTGTACAAGTTGTTTATCCATAAAATATTGTAGGATATACTTAAATTCATCACATTCTTCAATTTCATGACACTTACCAGGATGCAATCCACACCCTTCATCTTTGTCAAGGCTTCCTACCAACATCCCAAACTTAACCATTTCTTTAAAAATGAAATTTAGAGGAGTTTTCACATCCTTTACCCTCTTTATCATAAGTTTTTCTTCACCTTTTTCAATAACATTATCGTTTGGCCTTCCACGACCTGGTAGTGGATTATCCCAATATTAAGACTATCCTCTTTGAAGTTCAACCACCCTGCTTTAACCAAATTTTACACCTTGAAATTCAAAGCTCTACAATTCTTAAAGGAATGATCAACAACACCTGCATGATAATTACATTTGGAATTAAAATTGTATCCACTATGATATGGTGGCTCTATGGGTTTCGTTGGGCAAGGTAATACTAATGATTTTGTAGTAGGAGAGGGAACAACTTGGTATAGGACATATCGATAGGGTCAAACTTAATTGGTTTTCAGTCTTGAGTGTTTTGGAGTCTTGTTTGGCTAGCACTTTGGTTCCATGGTTGATTAGATTGAGGTGGTTTTGTGGTAGGTGTTGTGGGTGAAACATGTGGAGCTTGGTGGACAAGTGGATGAGGATAAGGAATTTGTGAGATAGTAGTAATGTTAGGGTAGGCCATGTGAGGGGTATATAAATGGGAGGGTTTGTTGTTAGGTATCAGGAGAGTTGAACATCACTGCATTGGTATCTCTTTCTATTTTCTTTTCTGAACCACTTGAAATTTCCCTTGAACGGATCATTTCAGTAGAATCAAACGCAATCTTTCCACACCTTATGCCACTTTCAATCCTCTCCCTAATGATGACTATATGTTGGGATACAAACAAGTCCCACATCGATAAAATAAAACTAGAAATAATAACTTATATAATACAAACATACTTCAATGATCGAGAGACCTTTTAGGTAATGATCAAAAGTAAAATCGTGAGGGCTTAGACTCAAAGCGGACAATATCTCATCATTGTAGAATATGTTTGTATAATAACCTTATAAAAACAACCCTCATAAAATATCTCCTCAGACAAGTACCATAAAATAACCCCATCACTATATTAGAGAAATTTGATGAAATATTTTCAATCATCTTATCATAGAATGGTGCTCACAAAGTATCAATAAGCAAAGGTACCATTTCTTTGTTAGACAAAGGAGGCTTCGCCTATGCTACCACCTCTCTCCACCTTTGAGCATATTCCTTAAATATCTCACTGTCCTATTTATACATGCTTTGTAATTCAAATCTATCTGTATTTAAACATGATTTGAGCATATTCTTTTTCTTGATGTTGGCCAATAATATTTATGATTGCATGTTCACATTTATAGTAAGAAATATCCCATTATTTCCTATTTTTATGCCACCACTTAACCACATATTATCTCTTCGATCTCAAAATATTGAGATATTTGATCAAGTCAATCATTTATCTTCTTCTGTTTAATCAATTGATTCTCTCACGTATTTTGATTCTATTCTTTTTTTAATTTTAAATTCAAAATATTATCAAATAAATTTTTTTATTCACAATAAATATAGAAATAAAATATATATAATAAAAGATGGATCATAATTCATTCCATTCTAATATTTAGTCTAATACTAATTATAGTTATACTTAATCTTATGCTTTGGAATAAGAGATACATAATAGTAAAAATATTCATCTTTTAATCAAATAGAAATGTATATGAACATAACAATTTTCAAAATATTTTTTTTTTTTGATGTAGCAATACCTTGCCTATAGAAAATGATCTATTTTTTTTAATTTATATTTTATTTTTATATAGATGAATGCATTGTGTCTATTTTTATCCACTTATTTTTATTTTTTTATTTTTATTTTATTGTTGCATATGATATACTAAATTTGAACTTCATTTTGGACTACCCTTATTTTGCATATTAACATGTTTTCTAATATACAAACCACATCATGTTTGTTTTACACGTTGCTTATTTTGTAAGTTAGCCACAAACATATTGATCTTTACTTTTAATAAGTTAAGATTTAATACATCATTTGGTTCTTAAATATTTTGTAAATTTTTAATTAGGTCCTTAAATTAAAAAAATTATAATTAGACTCATCATTTTTATATAACTTTTTGTATTTTAATTCATGTAGTCAGAAATTTATTTACAATTCAATTTTTTTTACTAAATATTATTTATATTCTCACACCTAAATAACTATATTAGATTATTATTTCATGTCATTATCTATGTTATCAGGTTTTAATTTTCATTTGTTAATTTTTTACTAATTTATAATTCTAATGATTTAAGAGATTATGAGTTTATTTTTAGAAGTGAGAATTAAAATTAATATACATAAATGTTGACATAAAATAATAATTTGATATAATTACCAAAATGTGAAGATATGAAAAAGTATTTTGTAAAACTTTATAAATTATAAATGAATTTCTAAGTCTAAAGACTAAATTATAAAAATATAAAAATTAAGGGCTTAATTATAATTTTTAATTTAAAATCTTAATTAAAAAAAAACTAAAGATCAGATGTATATTAAACTATAAATTTTGTACCAAAAAAAAAACTATAAATTAAATTTTTGTTATATTACTTAAAAAAACCAAGAAATTTCTGTTAGTGGCGGTAGTTAATCGTTAGATATGCATTTCCCGCTTCGAGTTCGGCACAGCTCTCGTCGCTTGTGGTTTTGATTCCCGTCCTTCTTCGTTCCCAAACAAACCCTAAACACAATCCCTATTTTCTTTACCTCAAATCCCAAAATCAAGAAGATTTCATTGCTGTAATGTCCAATCCAATTAATCTTCTTCTCCTTCTTCTCGCCCCTGCATTGATGTGCACAATTGTGAATTCGCTGCAGTTAGAGATGAAATCCGGTCACCCCAAATGCATTTCCGAGGACATCAAGAGCAATGTCATCACCGTCGGCAAGTATCACGTCGTTAATCCCAACCCTGGCTACCCCATTTCCGATTCTCACACCGTCACTGTCAGGGTATGCATATATATGCATGCTCATCATGATTCACTCGTTTAATTTCGATTTTCAATTTTGGAAATTAGGGTTCTATTTTTCCAATTATATATTTTCTTTTATTATTATAAATAGCCTGAAAATGTGCCATGTTTTTGTAAGTATAAAAAATATTATAGAAGAATCCAAGTCTCACGACTACTAGAAATATGATAAACAAAAGTTTCATAATTAAAGGACAATTTTTAAGTTATTTTTTGTAGGATTGAGTTGGACTCAAATATATATTTTAAGATGAAATTAAGAACAAGAACAATTGAATCTCAAAACCGATAGTTTGGTGTCTTTTTTCATTTTGTTTTTTGGTTTAGTATAACTCTTGCTCACTTAGTCAGGCCTAACTTCAATTGCAACTTTATACTTGAGTCGAGTATCGAACCCGGTCCTTGTTTAGTTGGTGTCTAAATGTATGTTATGAGGTTTGTTGATTTTTTCGGAATTTGAAATAATGTGACACTTTTTGGGCAGGTGCGTTCGCCTTATGGGAACGGTCATCACTACGCGGATAAGGTGCATTCGGGTGATTTTGCATTTACTGCAGCTGAGGCTGGTGATTACACTGCTTGTTTTTCGGTGCCACCGGATCTCGACCCCGGGGTAACTGTCACCATTGATTTTGTTTGGAGATCGGGGATTGCTGCCAGGGAATGGTCTGGTGTTGCCAAAAGAAGCAAGATTGAAGTAAGTCTCACCAGTAGTAGAATGTTCCTTCACATAAAATCTGTTATCTGGAAACTAGAATACTATTATGTTAATATATACATTACATACATGTATGAAAAATAGAATATTATATAAATATGTATTGTAGAAATAATTTTTAGTTAAGTTATTCCGGTTAATAACTTATGAACCTCTCTAATTGTATTAATGATAAAAAACACAAAATAAGCATAATTTATAGCAGGTCGAGTCTATGCGGTGAAAAAAATGAAAGTTGTCTTTGATGATGCATCAAGAGAAAGAGTAGTAGCATGAAAACTGTCAATCCTTTCAAATGATTCTCATTCATTTTCTCCAACTCTTTCTTAAGATAAGACAAGATTTATATGTATAAAAACTTAATCTTTAACTCTTCTAAAGTTGAGACTATTTCCTTTTATAGAATAGATTATTTTCGCAACAAGACAAGGATGGTGGTGAAAGGTGTTTCAACGCGATGATTTTAAGTTTGGAAGTTGAAGCACCGTTTAAGACCGGCCACTCCTTTGTTTTAAGTTTCATATATACTTTAGGGAATCAAATGACCAACCTTTTTAGGAGTACTCATGTTTCAGAGCACAAAATTCATGTTTATGTAATGTACCGTTGGAGGAGCATTTTGGAGTCTTAGAAATTCACCACAATTAGTTCTTTGTTATATTAGGACCGATTAAACTAAATGATGTTTATTTGGCATTTCTTTACCTACCGCGTCATATACAAAGAATTGCTTTGTCCTTGTTTAAAGACAGAGAAGAGTTATTATGAACTTGAAACAACAATCCATCTATAAAATGTCATTAGCATGTGTAACATGTTTTAGACACAATACTTGTTAGACATGTCTTGATATGCCTGATATCTCTTTACCATTTCATAATTAAAAATTATTATTTTTTGGTTTGAATATTTCTTTGACACAGTTTTAATACCTTTCTAACATGATTTAGATATAAGTCAAGAATGAGTTAACACACGCTTTTAACTAAATATTAATCTAACACTTCTATTATATATATTTTCTTAAAAAAATTCAACTTATTTATAAATATTGTAATGCTCATAATATTTTTTAATCTATCGTGAAATTCATTTTCATAAAAATAACTTATTATTTTAACTTTTATAAGAGATATGGTTGATTATCTGAGAGTTATTATCATATAATCATATAAATTATAAAGCTTGTTAAAAAGCTTAATTCATTTTATCTTATTTTCTTCTTATATAAGTGCTTGTTAAGAAGTTTATTCAAATTATGCTTAGATAGTGTTCGAAATTCTGTTTCTTGTTTCAATAGAGCACCTTTAATTTGTTTGTTTTTCTCTCAAATATATTTTCATAATTTTGTGGAAGTGTTAATTTTTTATTTTTATTTTTTTGGCATCTACATATTAAATTGTTAGTGTTTACTACCTTGATACATATCTTGCATTTCTGCTCATCTAGTTTAGCCAATGCAAACAAAGAAACAAATCATCTTATGCATAAATCAAATTGTTTGAGCTTGAACATAGGTAGATTCTGCTTAGCAATCACCTGCAATTTCATCATTAGCTCTAATTTCTTTTTGAATTTATCAGCTAAATTAGGAAGAGCTTATTAATGTTCTGTTATGTTTTTCTCAAGCAAATTGGATTGGCAACTTGTATGTGAAGATTATATTTAGTCAATCAATAGCAGATAGGGCTAATATCATAATGCTCTTTGTTGTTTACCTTGTTCCTATTTTAAAAGTTTAATTCTTTGTTTACTTTTCTATGATAAAGTTACACATTTATATTGTATAAAAGGCCAAGTCAATGGAACTTCTGAGAATAATTTAGGTTGCACGAATAGGGATAAGGAAAAAAGGAGCTAGCAGAACCTGTTAGAGAAAGGTTATAGGTCATTTACTCATATTTAATGTCACACCATGATTGGGGATCCATATTTTACCTCATTTTGCCCAGTTGTTTCTAAAGTAAGACGTTAAAGCACACTTGTATGAACAGTTAACATGTATGTTAGTGTGATTGATCATTCCAGACTGTCACTAATATATTTCCTAACACCTGAAAGATTTATCAGGAAGGAAGTTAATAAACATGTGAATAAGTAAGCTAATTCTAACACTTCAACACCCTTGAAAGGGAAAGGGATGTTTGATTTACAGATCTAATTATATGGTCTTGAGTGTTTTCTGAAGTGTTGTTTCTTGGCATCTTAGGTCATGGAGTTGGAGTTAAAGAAGTTGTATGATACTGTCTCATCTATCCACGATGAGATGTTTTATCTTCGTGAAAGGTATAAACTCATGGTTTCTGCATACAAGTTTACTGGTGCTATTGGTGTCTTTGATTTAGCAAACAATGTTTCTCCATTTCATCTGATGGGAACTAGGTTTTACAAGGCTCATTCAAAGTCTTTTTTAAATGCAAAGTATATGAAACATATTGTTGTTGGCGCAGAGGAAATTGGAATATTTTTCAGAGACGGATCTCTCTCTATATGCCTTGCATTAACTATTGCCAAGTGTTTACACCGTTTAAGAGTGATCTGATCCATGTCGTCATGCAAAACTATATTCTATTAATTGTCTTATTATACCCAAAAGAAAGGTTTGGATGAAATCACTTAACCTATTAACCCTTTAATCCCAACCAATTAACAAAACCAAAATAAGGAAGGTTCAAGAAAATCTGTGATACAAGTGTTTTTTGTTCACCAAGGGTATAACAGATTGTTGTGGTCTTTCTTAATTTAACGTGCCATAACCCTAATCATTTCAGCTGAAACTTTCATTTTTTCATGCTACAAACATCCTTCTTTTAATGTCCTACCTTCTTTACTTACATGTTCTGTGAGGGTCATAAATGTGACAATAAGCCAAGGAGGGAAGCGTATATAGATAGATGAGACCCCTATTTATGTTTAAACTTTGTAAGGTTTGACTTCACATAGTTACACACTATTGGAGACTAATCTTTAATTTTATTCATTCTGAGGAGAGTTTTCCTAAACTTTGATGGCATTTACTCAATGTGGATATAGGGAGGTAGAGATGCAAGATCTTAACGACGAGACTAACGCCAAGATGTTTACCTTCAGTTTCCTTTCAATTTTGGTTTGCTTGTCTGTAGCTGGTTTGCAACTATGGCATTTGAAGTCATTCTTTGAGAAGAAGAAGCTCCTCTAAGATGGATTTTATTCATTTGATTCTTTTTTCCACTTGACTGGCTTTTCCTAAGGTATCCGTATACATAATTAGATTATGTCAATTAATAATAAAAGTGATGTCATGCTTTAATATACACTATTTTTTTAGGTATATCTTTGCACCTCAACTGATTTTTATTTTGTTCTTTCTGTATTTATTTTTTAACTTTGTATCTATTTTATTTTTCACTTATTTATTTTTAGAATGTGTAACTTCTATAAACTATCATAAATAAAATTGTCCACAGATGAAAAATACTTATAACAAAAATTATGGTCATGTTTGAATTTTTTTTTTATTTTTCATTTTCATTTTCTATTCAATATACCCTCTTTTCTTCTTTTAACATTCTATCTGTACCTTTATATTTATCCAAAATAATATAAATGGAGCCATGGAGTCCCTTTCTTCCACCAGTAATTCGTAATGATAATTAGTAGTCGCTACCAAATTTTGATTATATTGATGGTAAGCAACATTGACTTGGTAGATTTTAGTTTTTCTTTTTGGATTTTTTTTTTTATTGTTTTAGTGGACCATATTCAGCATCATCTTTTTTTTTTCTCCATTTGTGATCTAAAAAAAAAGACTATTTTTAGGTTGAGTTATATTATTGTCTAAAAAGGTATACAATTAGGTTAAACCTATATTTCTTCCTCCCCAGCTCCGCATATACATTTACAACTCATTTTTTTTTGGTCTTTTTTTAATATTATTTCTATTTCAGTGTTTTGAAAACCAGACTGAACCGATCAGATCATAAATCTGATGAAGCAATCTAGTTTCTAGTTTAAATCAATCACAAAACTAAGCCTAAGAAAAATGGTTAAATAAAAAAGTTGGTCAAAATTCAGTAAATATGCACTCACAAAAAACCTCATAGCAGGCCATTAAAAAAATGTTTAATCCAATGTTGTTTATTTTTTTAGAAAAAGTTAAAAAAAAAAATTAATATAAAATATATATTCTTTTCTTTTCTATTCTAAATGAATACTTGTCATCTTTGAAATTTAGAGTTATATAGTATATTTGATTTAAACTCGTACTTTTCTTTAATGATATATGTGATGGAGTACGAAGCCGACGAGGTGTTATGACATAATGAAATTGTTTGCCTAGAAAGTTAATGCAAAGTCTTCAAAAGCAAGTAATTTTTCTTAATTGTAATAATTAAACTAGTCCATTAGATGCGAGGAAATCTCCTTAAAATGGGTTATCAACTAAATAAAATTTAAATGACAAACATGAATTAAACTCACATTTATAAAGATATAATTTCTTCTAAATTCTTGATCACTAGTTCTAATTCACTTTTTTTTTCCAGGAAAGTTAAATAATATATTAAATTGGTACAAGATATAAAAACCCATATACAAATTATAAAACGAGTAAAATACAGTAACCAGATGTTTTTCCTACTGCTTCAATTGGTTACTATATATTTATATCTTTCATAGATTATATATAAAAGATAACCAACCAATCACCAATAACTAACCCATCTAAACGAGCATTAACTAAGACATGCATATTAATTTAATCATTATTTTAACTCATTGTTCTAATTCAAATTAACAATTTATAATCTGAATATTATAAAATCCTGTAAAATGATTTTTTCAATTTTTGATATTATAAAATTATAATAGTGCATTCTTAATACTAATTTATAAATTATTTAATTATTTTATTAATGTCAATTTAATCATTATTTACCACTATATCGTTGAAACAAGGCAGAAAGTAGAATAGTAGTTGAAATTATTCACATTTCTTTCTTTTTCTAATCAAGAAAGTATATATACACAATTTTTTTCTTTTAAATTATATCATTCTCACATATAACATCTTTTTGCAAATTCTTTGTTTTTCCCATTGCCTCTACGTGATATCACCGAAACACAGCCAGATTTTATGTTGCATCTCGATTCTTGTGATGTTGGGTATCTGATCCGAGTAACACTGGTGCGTAGCAGCAACAAATAACAATGGGAACCGCCACTGTTGCGTCCACACTCGCCCACATGGCAGAGAGGTGCACGTGCATGCGCGACCTCAAGCTCCTCCACGCGCATGCCTTCCGCACGCGCCTCCACGACCACGCGGTGGTCCTCGGCAAGCTCTTCCGCTTCGCCGCCGTGTCGCCGCTTGGCGACCTACGCTACGCCCACCGCATGTTCGACCAAATGCCCCACCGAACGACCTTCTTCTACAACACCCTCATCCGCGCCCACTCTCATTCCCAATCCCCTTCTCTCTCTTCCCTCTTCTTCAATCTCATGAGGCAAAACGACGTCGCCCCGGATCAGTTTTCCTTCACCTTCTTGCTCAAGTCCCGCTCCAGAACCACCCCTTTGACCCACCCAAATGATATACACGGTGCCGTTTTGAAGTTCGGGTTTTGCCGCCACTTACACGTCCAGAACGGCTTGATACACTTGTATGCCAATATGGGCATGGCCCTTATGGCAAGAAGGGTTTTTGAGGATGTTTTGCAGCTGGGTTTGGAGGTTGATGTTGTGTCCTGGTCGGGGTTGCTTGTGGCGCACGTAAAGGCTGGTGAGTTGGATGTTGCACGGAGGGTGTTTGATGAAATGCCCCAGAGGGACGTGGTTTCGTGGACCACCATGTTGTCGGGGTATTCGCGGGCGAGGCGGCCCATGGAGGCGTTGGAGTTGTTCGGGGAGATGAGGCGTGCTGGGGTGTGGCCGGATGAGGTTACCATGGTGAGTGTGGTCTCGGCTTGCACGAGTTTGGGAGACGTGGAGACGGGGAGGATGGTTCACTGGTTTGTGGAGGAGAATGGATTTGGTTGGATGGTTGCGCTTTGCAATGCGCTTGTTGACATGTATGGTAAGTGTGGATGCTTGGAGGAGGCGTGGCGGGTGTTTCATGGGATGACGAGGAGGAGCTTGATCACGTGGAACACGATGATGACGGTGTGCGCGAACCATGGGAATGCTGATGATGCATTCAGGTTGTTTGAGTGGATGGTTTCTTCTGGTGTTGTGCCTGATTCAGTGACACTTCTGGCGCTTCTGGTTGCGTATGCTCATAAGGGGTTGCTGGATGAGGGGATTAGGTTGTTTGAGAGAATGGAAAGGGACTATGGGGTTGAACCTAGGATTGAGCATTATGGCGCTATGGTTGATATGTTGGGGCGTGCGGGGCGATTACAGGAGGCTTATGATCTGCTTACAAATATTCCAATTCCATGTAATGATGTTGTTTGGGGAGCTCTGCTTGGAGCCTGCAGGATTCATGGTGATGTTGGCATGGGGGAAAAGGTTATAACGAAGTTGTTGGAGTTGAAACCAGATGAAGGGGGATACTATATTCTGCTTCGTGATATCTATATTGCTGCAGGCCAGACTGTAGAAGCCAATGAGATGAGGCAAGCCATGTTTGCTAGTGGAGCAAGAAAAAACCCCGGTTGTAGTTGGGTGGAAGGATAAATTTTAGGTGTGGATCCAAGCAATCATCATGCAAGGCAATAGTGATACCCTTTGTGTATTGCAGGCTGTAGAGTTGTTCGCATGGAGTTCTCCATAATTCTGATTTTTGTCACTTCATTGTGATTGCGGGCAGCTAATCGGCAATTGGAATGGATGAAAAAAGGTATAAATATGTCTTTAGTACCTCAATTTTTAAAAAAAATTATTTTTAGTCCCTAAAATTTAGAAATGATCTTTCTAGTTTTTGCAATTTCAAAAAAAAAATTGTTTTAGTACTTAAATTCAAATTTTGTTAAAGAATTTGTCAAATATCATTACATAAAATCTACCAATCGGTGTTTTTATTAGTAAAACATCATATTAAACATAATTAATAGTGTATTACTATCTTGATCTGTCATTTTCAAATATATTCTTGGTGATCTAAGGAACTAAAATAAGATTTTGAAAAATTATATAGGTTACAAACAATAATTTTAAATTTGAGAGACAAAAACAAATTTATCCTAAATTTAATGAACTAAATATATTTAAACTGTTAAAAATATTACTTTTAGATGACCAAATAATTTATAACTGTTTTTATTGATTGTTCTACCTCAAATTCAACTCATTTGATAATTTCTTGGAGTCTCAGAATTTCTGTTAAGCCATTGGCATTTGGCGCTGATGAAGATTTTTGGGAGGTATTTATTTCTGTATATATCTCATGAAGCAGCAAGTGGGAAATTATTCTTGCAAAAATGAAAGTTGACGGTTTTGTTTAGACAAGCATAAGCTGGTATGAGACTCTTAAGCAATGTGCATCTACCAAAACTAGGTATGTGGTTCAAAGTTTGAGACCGACTGTATTTTCTTTTGAGCAACAATGGCTAAATACAGATACTGTAATTAGTTATAATATAATGACCCAATACAATGTCGTGCTGCTGATTCTCGAGGGATTCTCACGACCCAGTGTGACAGACCTATCATTCACATTTTGCTGATCAGATTTGTTTTTCAACTTAAAAGTTTTCTACAAAAGAATTATGATATTTTACTCGCCTGATAATACAATGCAATAAGCACTTTTTTAATCTGTTTGGTGTGAAGCCCGTGTTATAAACCTTCTTAATGGTTCATAGTTGTTTATACAGTCTTATTTATTGTTGTAGTTCATTTTTGCTTTCCATATTGACATTTGTTGTATGTCCCTTTCAGATCGGTCGTTATATCTTCCATAGTTTTAAAAACCGGACCGGTCATCGAACCGGTTAAGGTACTGGGTCAGTGGGTCAAAGGTTGAACCGGTGGGTCACTAGTTGAACCGCATGACTCGATTTTTATTTATTTTTATTAAAAAGTATTCATATTAAATATATTTTATACTTATAAATTTTAATAAATTCATATCTTATTTTAAATTTCAATTTTTCTATCTTATTTAAAATTATTTTTATTTTTATTTTGTAAAAAAATACATAAAAAAATTACATGTTAAACGGTATATTAATACAAATTAAAAATATAAATAATATGTACATATATAATATGCTTGCAATTAATATCACAAAATAATATATGTAATATTTACATAGATATTGATAAAAGTTATTTAAGTTGTATATATTGCAAACAAATATATTAGAACAAGTAGTCATTGTTATATTTAATAAGACTCCTTGCTTTTTCATTAAGAGATTCAATTTTCATTATTATTTTTGTGATTTATGGTCCCTTAAAAAAATTAAAAAAAAAAAAAAGTGGTTGAACTGGTTTGACCCACCGGTTCACCGGTTGAACCGAAAATTTGACCGGTTCAATCTGGTTTGAAACGGGTCGACTGCTTAACCGATCCAACTTCAGATTCGGACCGGCTAGACCACCGGTTCCCGGTCCAACCGGTCCGACCGGCCGGGTCGGTCCGGGTTTTAAAACACTGATATCTTCTACCAGGGGAAAATTCGGACAAGGCAGTTGGAACATACCAATGCATTAATGTATATCTTCTGGGACGTTTTTCTTTTAACTATGTAAAATTTAAATAGAAATGGGCATTATTGATTATACAAGTTTATAAGAGTCTGTTTCCAAGTTTAATCCGTTGGTCCCATTGTCTTTTACAATATTTAGAAGACTTGTCGATAGACTCCTTAATCAATTTTTTTTTTTTTTATTTCTATAAAAGCTTCTTTCCCCTACTCATTTTCTTATTTTATTAATGATAATAAATAATGGTATCAGAATACATAAGTGGAAAACCTCTACATCAAATAGCATTCCACAGCACCATATCTTACCAACATTAAATACATAGTTTTTTTTTAATATAAAAGTACAAGAAATAGAAACCAATGACCTAATGGAATCAGCATATATTATATTTTTTTAATCATACAATGTTGTATAGTGAGGCATACTCAGGCTAATAGAAACAATGATTTAGTAAACCATATCCTAACCAAGTAGGCACCTAGCTTAAACACTTGCATGTTACACAGCCAAAGCTAGGCAGACAAGATAAGGATTATGGTGGGTTTGCGACCAAGTTATTCATGTTTAGCTGTATTGTTTCATCTCCACTTCCCTCATTCACGCAACCAAAATTGTACTCGGGATTTGGCCACACGTGACATGAAAAATATTTCATGTGGACCTGCACATATATAATGACCATGTTATAAAAAAAATTCAATTAGAGGATACAAGATTATATTCATGCAGTTAACACGAGACTAGTCATTATTTCATAGAAGATGATCAAATAAATAAACACCAAACATTATGTAGCAAGAGTCAGTTGTCCACCAATATCTTGTTTACATGTGTTTAGAAGAGAAACATAAGAAAATATAGTCTATGCACCAACAATATAAAAATTATTAAAAATTTATAGTCATCCAATTAGAAATCACAATGTATAATAAATTATTGACTACTTAAAAGACATACCAACCATGATTTGATTGATTTCTAATTGATCAAAAAATGTGAAAATAAATTAAACTCAATAAAATTGCAACCAAGTTCAATGCATAATCATTAAATTCAAAATAAAATTGAATGCAAATAATAGTTACCTTACCAAAGAATTGTATTCAGATAGCAACATAACATCTTGATTTATGTTCTTCAATCAACGGATACCATATCTACACTGCAATGGTAGATCTACAAGTATATTTTCTGGGTAAAAATACACGTGTAGAGATATCATACAAATAATAATGCCCTAAAGAAGCTGCACAGAGAATGAACCAGGAGATTAATATCCAATTGCAGCCTGACAACAAAGACGTGAAAGGTCGGTCGTATGCAATCATATCAATATTTGAACATGTGTCTGGCAAAAAAAGTAGAGAACTAGGCTATTTACTTAATGGCCAACAGCCTTTGGAAAGAAATATCATATTTAAAAGGCATTTGAAAATCAAAATAACTTTTTATAAGAATAATAAAATAAAATTCCTCAACATTTAAGGCCGATAAACAACACTAGGAAAACAGCTTTCCTTATTCTATAAAACACGAAATAACTATGTAATGTGTGTAAAATATAAATTATCCTACAACAAATTGATTTGACTCTCATAAACTAGCCATGACAAACAACTGAAACAAGGAATAATTGGTACAAAAGTGGAAATGCGAGGCTGGAAATTTAGTTACATTGTATGTTTGAAGTTTAAGAGAAACATGGACAATATGTCAGCAGCATCTCCATTGATGTAGAATAAACCTAAAGAAATCAGACACTGCTAACAGTTAGGGGAGAAATGAAAGGCATTGTATAATTTTATACTTCAATCCTGATATTAATGTCACGTTACAATTATTTCATTCCAAAAATCAAATTAGTCTTAAAGAAATATTTCCAAGTCAAGATGTACAAGTAGATGAAGTGTGTAGATAAATGTTAGAGAAAAAAGACATACAAGAGTTCCAAAGGAGATAGGTACCTTTATGATATTATGATAGGAGACCTGTGGTTAAACAGGTCTATGTTAGGAGGGAAAAGGGAGGCAGTTAGTTACTTTTAATAACTAACTGATAACAGTCTGTGGGGACTGTTATATTGTATAAATAGGAAGACATAAGGGGAGAGAAGGGGTGTGGAACAATATTGTAATCTGGGAGAGTAGGCACTCTCGAATTTGCCTAGTGTACGGAATCCGATTGAATGTTAGCGTCGCTCAGCAAGGGGGTCAATAAAAACCTTGCAGATATTCTTTTTCTCTGTTTCATCCCTTCACATCTCTCTTTTTACCAGTTGATTCTATCAACTGGTATCAGAGCTGTTACGAACCTGAGGCGATCGAGGATGGAAAAGAAAATGGAGTTCCGGTTGGAGCAGGTGGAAAAGGGCTTGCAGGACATACAGAAACGCACGGCGGAGGAAACTGAATGGCGGCGTAACATCGAGGGGGCTATGCGCGAGATGCTGGAGCAGTTGAAGGAAATGCGAGCGACTATGGGGACAGTGGGAGGTAACGGCCGCAAAGGGGACGAAGTTTCGGTGGTCCCAAGAACGGAAAAGAATGGGTGGAAGTGGTGAAACCTGGAACTTCCGCTGTTCCAGGGGGATGACGTGTTGGGATGTGTTGGGATGGGTCGGAAAGATGGAGAGATATTTCAGATTGAAGGGGGTATTGGAGGACGAGAAGGTGGAGGTTGCTATGGTGGCATTGCAAGGGAAGGCAGTGGCGTGGTTTCAATGGTGGGAAGGCAAAAATCAAAACGCTTCGTGGGTGGGTTTCAAAGGGGCATTGTTGAGACGATTTCAGCCCGAGGTGGTACAAAACCCTTTTGAGGTGTTGTTGGGCCTTAAGCAAGAAGGGAGTGTGGCGGACTACAGGGAGAAGTTCGAGGCCAATTCTGGGCCTCTCCGGATTGGGGACACCAATTATTTGAAGGGCATTTTCTTGAATGGTCTCAAGGAGGAGGTTAAGGCGGAATTGAGGTTGCATCAACTCAATTCATTGGAAGAAATTATGGATATGGCTCTACTGATAGAATCCCGAAATTCGATCTTAAGGAAGGAGGTGGGTGGATCGTCGACCACCACTAACAGAGGGGGATGGAACAAGAACCTTTATGGTAGCCGGAGGGACGAAGAGAAGAAGAAACATGATGAACCCAGGGAGACGAAAGGGGAGGATAATCAAAAGGGGGAAGGAAAGACCAATTGGAGGAAAATGACTGATGCGGAGTACCAAGAAAGGCGGAGAAGGGGGATTTGTTTCCGATGTGAAGAGAAGTATTCACCGGGACATGTGTGCAAAAACAAGTAAATCCGAATAATGTTGTTGGAGGAGGGAGTGATAGAGGAGGATGAAGAGGAGGAAATCCAATGGGGTGGTAAGCCGTCCACCACGACATTAGATTTTCGGAGTATGGCGGGAATCACTTCAAAACATTAGTTCAAATGCTGGGGAAAGATAGGTGATAATTCAATTTTGGTTTTGGTGGATTGTGGGGCTTCCCACAATTTCATTGCTGATTCGGTGGTAAGGAAATTGGGGTTGGTGGCGGAGAAAACAGAACCATATTGGGTGAAGGTAGGGGATGGTCATAGTGTGAAGGCGCAAGGGTTGTGTGCAGGGTTGGACATAGAAGTACAGGGGGTTTCTTGGAGGCAAAATTTCTATCTGTTTGCCTTGGATGGTGTTGACGTGATATTAGGGATGGAGTGGTTGAGGGGGCTGGGAGAAATTAAGGTTAATTTTGACAAATTAACCTTAAAGGGTAGAGTGGGAGGAGAAGTCTATCAAATCAAGGGTGACTCTTCCTTGAGTGTGTTGGAAACACCATTGAAAGGCACCCTCCGGCAATTGAAGGAGGAGGAGGAAATCTTTTGGGTGGAATGTTGTGTGGCTGAAACCGAGCCAGAGGAGAAGATGAGAGCAGTTCCAGATAGCATTAAGCAACTCCTGGAGGAGTTTGAAGAGGTTTTCAGGGAACCCCAGGGACTGCCCCCATCAAGAAGGCAAGACCATGCTATCAATTTGAAGGAGGGGGCAGAGATTCCTAACCTCGGACCTTATAGGTATCCGTATTATCAAAAAAATGAGATTGAAAAATTGGTGCAGGATATGTTGCTGACAGGGATTATTAGACCTAACATCAACCCTTATGCTAGTCCTATAATTTTGGTTAAAAAGAAAGATGGAAGCTGGAGGTTTTGTGTAGATTACAGGGCGTTGAATAAGGTAACCATACCAGATAAATTTCCAATTCCAGTTATTGATGAGCTTTTGGATGAACTGACTGGAGCCACCATATTTTCCAAATTGGACTTGAAATCTGGTTATCACCAAATTCGGATGAGAGTTCGGATGAGAGAGGAGGATATTCACAAGACTGCTTTTAGAACCCACAAAGGGCACTATGAATACTTGGTAATGCCTTTCGGCCTTACTAATGCACCCTCAACATTCCAGGGGTTAATGAATGAAGTATTGCGGAAAATTTTGAGGAAGCTTGTTTTAGTATTTTTTGATGATATATTGGTTTATAGCAGGAATTTGGAAGAACATCAATACCACTTAAAACAGGTGCTGACCCTACTGAAAGAAAATTCGTTGGTGGCTAATGGGAAGAAGTGTGAGTTTGCAAGGCCTCATATGGAGTACCTGGGTCATGTCATTTCGGTCAAGGGGGTGGCAACAGACCTTTCCAAGGTAAAAGCCATGCTTAAATGGCCTCAACCTATGAATCTTAAGGGGCTGAGGGGGTTTCTGGGTCTGACCGGTTATTATAGGAGGTTTGTTCGGGGATATGGGGTGATTTCCCGACCTCTAACTGAGTTGTTAAAAAAAGAAGCATTTGTATGGAGTGAGGAAGCCACCACAGCTTTTGAGGCACTTAAACAGGCCTTGGCCGAGTTGCCTATTTTGGCAGTACTAGATTTTTCTAAGCAGTTTGTGGTGGAGTCAGATGCTTCCAGCCAGGGGATTGGGGCAGTGCTGCTTCAAGAGGGCAGGCCCTTAGCCTTCATGAGCAAGGCTCTTTCTAAAAAGGCCTAGAGAAAATCAGTATATGAAAGGGAATTAATGGCAATTGTAGTGGCTGTTCAGAAATGGAGACATTATTTGATGGGAAGAAAGTTCATTATAAAAACTGACCAAAGGAGCCTCAAATTTCTTAATGAGCAGAAACTATTGGGAGAGGAGCATCACAAGTGGACAACCAAGTTATTGGGATTTGATTTTGAAATCCAATACAAACCGGGTTATGAGAATAAGGCGGCGGATGGTCTTTCAAGGCAGATGATGTATGCTGCCATAACAAGGGTGGAAATGGAAGAGTGGCAGAAATGGGAAGAAGAGTTTTTGGAGGATGCTGAAATACAAGTATTAATGCAAAAACTGGTCACAGCCCCGGACCAACAGAAAGGGTATGAATTGAAGGAGGGAAAATTATTTTTCAAAGGCAAATTGGTTTTACCCAAGAATTCTTGCAGGATTCCTCTCATCATCCGAGAGTTTCATGCTTCAGCTATGGGAGGCCATGCGGGAGTCTTCAGAACCTTCAAAAGAGTATCGACTGCATTCTTCTGGAAGGGAATGAAGAAGGATATTACCAAATTCGTGGCTGAATGTCACATTTGCCAAACTAATAAGTATCAGACATTGGTGCCATGGGGGTTGCTGCAACCATTACCAATTCCTACGCAAATTTGGACTGACTTATCCATGGATTTCATTGGGGGCCTTCCAAGAGCTTTAGGCAAGGATACTATTTTGGTAGTAGTAGACAGGCTATCTAAGTACGCCCATTTCTTACCCCTATCACACCCTTTTTCATTCAGGAAGTGGTGCGGCTACATGGGTTTCCTGAATCCATTGTCACTGACAGGGACAAGTTGTTTTTGAGTCAGTTCTGGTCAAAATTGTTTAAATCCCCAGGCACAAAATTGAAATATACTTCAGCGTATCACCCCCAATCGGATGGACAAACGGAGGTGGTTAACAGGTGTTTGGAGGATTACTTGAGGTGTTTTGTGGGGGATAAACCCAAGCATTGGCCTAGGTGGTTAGCTTGGGCAGAATTTTGTTTTAACACTCATTATAATCAGTCTTCGGGGATGACTCCATTCAAGGCTGTGTATGGAAGGGATCCTCCTGCTATTTTCAAAGCTCAAACTTTTCCTTCCAAGGTGGAGACTGTGAATGTAATGGCAGAAGAGAGGGACGAAATCTTGGAGGAATTAAAGGCTAACATTGGAAAGGCACAGCATAGGATGAAACAACAAGTGGATAGGAAAAGAAGGGACGTGAAATTTGAGGTGGAAGATTGGGTTTATCTAAAAGCCCAACCGTATAGGCTCAAGTCGCTGGTAAAGAGGAGAAATGAGAAATTGAGTCCTAGATATTATGGTCCTTTTCAGGTGGTGGCTAAGGTGGGTGAGGTGGCTTACAAGTTGCGGTTACCAGAAAACAGTAGGATTCATCCAGTCTTTCATGTCAGCAAATTAAAGAGGGCCGTGCCAATAGAAAAACATGTGCAGCCCCTTCCGGAAGATCTCTCTATAGATTGGGAATTGCAGTCACAACTAGCTAAACTTTTATCATACAGATACAACAGAACAGGGGAATTGGAAGTACTCATCCAATGGCACAACTTGCCTGACTGTGAAAATTCGTGGGAAACAGCAGCCAAGATTGATGCCACATTTCCACAATTTCACCTTGAGGACAAGGTGATAGCTCGAGGGGGGAGTATTGATAGGAGACCCGTGGTTAAACAAGTCTATGTTAGGAGGGAAAAGGGAGGTAGTTAGTACTTTTAATAACTAACTGATAACAGTCTGTGGGGACTGTTATATTGTATAAATAGGAAGACATAAGGGGAGAGAAGGGGTGTGGAACAATATTGTAATCTGGGAGAGTAGGCACTCTCGAATTTGCCTAGTGTACGGAATCCGATTGAATGTTAGCGTGGCTCAGCAAGGGGGTCAATAAAAACCTTGCAGATATTCTTTTTCTCTGTTTCATCCCTTCACATCTCTCTTTTTACCAGTTGATTCTATCATATTATCAACATATTTCATTAACCAGGAAACCAGAAGACCAGTAGGCCCAAGATTTCATACCACCATCACTATAGGGAGGCTGTATCTACTGAAAATATGTTACCACCAGGGTCCATCTTGAAAATCTCCCGTAGAAGTTGTGGCACACCAATAAATGGTACCAAACCTGGACAGAAGCTAATTTAGTGTCTATTCTTCTGGTAGATAACTAAAATATTTGATCATGGAAATTAATAAAAGGAAGAGTGTAAATGGTAGATGGAAAAAGAAACTTCTTATATTGAGCTGTCTGCTAGCTAGAACTGTCACATGGCTTTTGAGTCTCTAGGATTGTGCCCCTAAAGGCCAGAGGTTCCTGAAAAGAAGATCTTCTATTCAGTTTATTTACCCTGCATTTTGACATTTCTTTAAAACTGATCTTGTTTTAGATTAACTCTGTAGTCCTCATAGTAGATTATGGAAAGGCTATCTTATGTTAAATTTCATCTGTGGTTAGCTTTCGTTTGTTTGGTGGCAGGCTTTTTTTATCCACATTTTTCCTCTTTTAGTATCTTCTTTTACCTACAAAATTAACTACGACATCCAAAGACAAATCATCCTATTTTATTGTAAAATACCCAATAACCATGTCCTAATTGACTGGAACCAATAGATAAGATGGGTGGTTTGGAGTTTGGACTCCTCCATATCCGGGCTTTGTTAAACTCGATGTTGAAGACAGTACTTTAATTAATGCAAGAGATGGAGTGGGAGGATGAATAAGATGCATGGACCATGATATGGTTGTCAGTCTGTCAATGTATATTTTCATTGGCATGATATAAAAAATCCTGCTGAGTTTATGTCTATTAGATGCAATTTGTACCTTTGCTTGGAAACAAGCTACAATCATGTGTAGGATTGGGTGGGGAACCTTTGGCATACTCTGAGAGAAGGAAATCAACGCGTAGATCACGCGGCAAAGATTGGGTCACATCAGGACAAAAATCACCAGAGTCTGGAAAATGCAACGGGTAAGGAATGTCTAGCCTTGCTACTGTGTGTTGTAGGATAAAAATACTTTTTGTTTGTTTCTAGATAATACAGAAGAAAAATCTCATTAGATATAGAAGAAAGACCCCAAACCAAATTTAAATAGCAACCAAACTCAAACTACTCTAGTTCAAACACAATATTCATGTAATATTAAACCACACAAGTAGAAACAAGAAAAAACTTTATTGAACTTTGCTCAATTACACTCCTTTTAATTTCATAATTACATACCGTTTTAATTCTGTATAAAGCATAGCCAGACATACATGCAATGGCATACTGGTAACCAATCTGCAATTCTGCACAGCTCTTCTCTTTTCAACCTGCAGAATGAAATACATGCAATAACTACTTCAGTGATACATCTTAGCAAATAAGTCAATAGGAAATGTGATTCTGCTTTACCTTTAGGTACTGATTGGATACACCTTAGAAATTGGTATAAATCCAAGCACAAACAGTCTAAACTGGCTGACTATTTACGAAATTTCACCTTTCTAGCTTTTATAATACCACGTTTTAAAGCTGAGATGATATGCACATCTGGTGTCATTCCCTTTAAAGACATTTCATTAAGCAGTATAACAGCTTTCTCCATGTGCCCTCTGTTACATAAGCCAGAGACCAAAGCAGTGTATGTTACAGTATCTGGTTCTAGTCCACTGTCAATCATTTTATCAAAGAGGCTAACTACTTGTTGAAAGTTATCTGTCTTCATTTGTCCATCAATCAATACAGTGTAACAAACAACATCCGGATTTATTTCCATTTGCTCCATATCTCTCAAGATGGTGGAAATATTTGATGGTGCTGTCTTTCCTATTCCAAGAGGAGATAAATGCCTTCTTAATTTCGCTTTTAAGCTTCCATCAAGTAAAACTGTGTAGGTAATGACATCAGGCTTGATCCCTCTCCTCTTCATATCCAGGAAGAGGTCATGGGCATCCTGCAAGCAATTCATCCTACAATAACTATTTATCATAATTGTGTAAGTTACAACATCAGGTTTCAATCCTCTACGAATGAAAAAGTCAAACAAAGAACGAGCATTCTTCATATCCCCAGTCTGGCACAGAGCAGCTAAAACTTTAGAATACATTATTTTGCTAGGTTCCACATTCGACAAAAACATTCTCTCCAGCATCATAACAGCTTTCTCAATGTTACCTGCCGTGCAGAGTTTAGTGAGTAGCTTAAAACAGGAAGCTTCTTTAGCCATATCTCCTTGGTTTGACAGCTTAAGGAAAATTTCATAGGATTTTTCGACAAGGTCCACTTCACAATAGCCATTCACCATGGCAGAGTATATTTCAACACTCTTATCTTCCAGACATTTAAAATACGCCTCAGCTTCTAAAACCTTGCCTCCTGAACACAAACCTTCAATGACCATCTTGTGTGTAGTAGAGTTTGGCTTCACACCATGACTCTCCATATACTCCAAAAGCTTCACCACCTCATGAGCAGGACCATTTCTCGCCAACCCAGCCACCAGTACATTATATGTGACAACATCAGGTTTAAAACCCTTTTCATTCATTTCCCCAAACACACCAAACGCATTAACAAGATCACCCTGAAGGCAGTAGCCATTGATAAGTGTCGTATAGTGCTTGATATCCAATCCCACACGCTTCCTCTTCATGTCCTCCAACATCTCAATCGCATCCTCCACCTTCCCCAACTTACACAAAGCATGAAACACAATATTATAGGCGACGCCATCGAGAAACATCCCTGACTCCCTCAACTCCTGGAACTGATCCACCACCTCCAAAGCCATCCCCATCTCCCCCAAACAATGCAAAATGTAGCTAGCAATGACGCAATTCGTCTTCACACCCCTGGAAACCATCTCATCGTGCAACGCCAAAGCCTTAATCAAATTACGACTCTTACAATAGCCATGAATCAATGCGGAATAAACATAGAGATCAGGAACCACCCCTTGTCTCTGCATCTCATCAAAGACACCCTGAGCCTCATCCAACTTCATCTCATTGCAAAACCCGCGAACAAGAGCGGTGTAAGCATAAACCTCCAAAGGGGCATTCCCCTTCCTGAATGCCTGCAAAACCTCATACCCCAAATCAGACCTATGGTTATTACAAAGGCCCTCAATGTAAGCAGCATAGCAAAAGGAATGAGGGACCACTCCAAGTCTCTCCATCTCCTCAAACACACAAAGGGGTTGTTTCAAGTCACCTTTTTTGCACAAAGCCTTGATAACAATGGCATAAGTGTAACAATTGGGAGTGAAGCCAAACCTCTTGAGCTGTTCATAAGTGGCGAGAGCCTTGTCGAAGTGGCCGTGCTCCACCAAGCGGTTGAAGAGGAAGTTGCAGGTGAGGACGTCGGGGAGGAGGCCGCGGCGGCGGAAGTGGAAGAGGAAGTCGATGGCGGCGTCGAACATGTTGAGGCTGACGCAGGATTTGACGAAGCAGTGGAATGCACGGAGGAGGTGGCGGTGGTTGGGGTGGTGGAGGTGGTGGAAGAGGGTCTGGAAGAGGTGGGCGAGGGGGAAGGGAGGGGGGTGGGTGAGGAGGTGGAGGAAGAGGGAGTCGAGGGTGCGCGGGAGGTTCCAGAAAGAGAGGATTTTGATGATGGCGGCGTAGGTGGAGAGGGGGTGGGGGAAGCCGGTGCGGCGGGGGGGGGGG